AGACCCGTTCTTGATGGTCGGGCTTTTGCTGGGCTCATAGGATCGGGATTGGGTCATAAAGCAGTTGATGATCGTGTGTTGCGGAGTACATTGACAGCGCTCAGTGGCTTTAGAATGTTTCAATGTGCTGCAACGTTGGATATCTCTATGGCATTTTATATGCTTCTACATTCGGACAGTGAATCGTATACGTTCTGCATCCCATTTCGTGGAAATCTCTATCGGCTTCGTTCTCCACCCATGGGTGCACCACATTCGCCTGGTTGTTTGTTGGATGCTATGCAACGACTTTGTAATGAGGCTCGCAGTGACTTTTTGGGTCTCTATCTGCATCTGATAAAGAACGGCAATGTTCCAGTGTGTTTCTGCTTCTATATGGACGATTTAGTCGTGAGAGCAGATTCTGAAAAGCTTCTTAATTTGGCTGTCAGGTGTCTACTTCGTGTCTGTGATCGGCACGGCTTCAACTGTAGTGAGAAGAAGAGGCAGATAGGACCTCCTTGTGGTGAAGATTCTGCTCAAGTACTGGGTCTTCTATGGAATAAGAATGACGAGATATTTATTGTACCACCCGATGTCTCGTCACTACCACCACCATTGTCCACTCCTTCTGATGACTCTTCGTGTGTCGTGACTATCCGTGATTTGATGGGCTATGTTGCCCGTATATACAACCCATTGGGGTTCGTGGGTCATCTTCTTTTGGCTATGAGACTTATCATTCGTGATGAATCCGAACGGACCACCGACGGTGACTTGGATGCCTTTGTAAAAAGGTCTTCATATGAATCTATTATGAGAAGCACGGATGAGTTGAGACGATTTTCTGGTATTCCAAGGGCTTTAGGTATCCGTCAGGATCCCGTGATCTGTGCGTTCTTGGATTCGTCAGCATATGGAATAGGAGTGGTTATTACCGATGCTAACCTGAACATCATCCGTTGTTATACTAAGCTCATTGGTGGTCAGCGAAGGTCATGGACGATAGTGAGGAAGGAGTTGTTGGCTGTTCAAGAAGCAGTTGCCTTCTACATAGAAACTCGACGAGCTCTTCTAGCGGTGGATGGAACTATGAAGTTGGAGGTTCAGTTCTTCACGGACAACTCCGCCAACTTTTTTCGACTCCGTAAAGCCCAACAATATGTTCATGATGAGAACGATGACTCCAAGGATATCATATGGCCACCAAAATCACTTGATATACCACAGTGGGAGTCGAAGGTTCTCCTTGGTATTGCTAAGAACTTGGCTTTGTTAAATGGCACTATATACCATTTGAGTGGACGTCATAATCCAGCCGACGCCTTCTCTCGTGGTACACCTTTGACTACCCTCCCTCACGAAGATGCTGGCCTGAAACTTGCGGTAGAAGTTTCTCGCCGCCGGGAAGGCTTACCGTATGACGTGGACACAGAGCATGTGGACACTATTGGAAGTGATCAAGTAAGGGAAGTGGTAGATTTCTGTACGATTGAGCTCTCCGATAATGAGACCCCAATCAGTTTACGAGAGGCTATTATTTCTATGCAATATGAGGATTCTTCTCTCGGTAAACTATTAGATTCTGATAAGTACGGCCATCCCAGAGCCGAGATTACTTCGTAAATATGCTGTTGTTATTCCGAAAGATGGCTCTCCGAAATATGTTATTAATGCTGTGACTGACGGTTTGGTTGTTCCATATTGTCGGCAGTTAGATGTCGTTAAGGCTTTACATCTTTTTTACGGTCATCTCGGAAGCCATAAATTGTTCAAGTCTACTTGTAGTGATTTCGATTGCGGTTCTCTCAAGAATTTTGTCCGTCATCAACGAGATTGTGAGGTCTGTCGTGTGCAAAGAGGCTACCGCACTCTAAGCCATCGATTGGGCAGATCCTTAGTTAGAAATGAGAGACCGTGGGAAGTGTTGGCTGTGGACCTTATAGGCCCATATGTGCAACGCAATAGAATTTCATATGACCCTAAGGTAGAGTCGACAATGTGTCTTATTCTGGTCGATTCCTACACTGGTTACCTCTGCCATGCAGTGGTACATGATTATGCCCCTGCAGTAGCAGTTGCGGCAAGTCTTGATGCTGTTTGCCTAGACCATCAGTACCCTAAGGCTATTGTGTCCGATGCGGATTCTCGATTCCGGTCGACTCAGGTGTCTTCATGGTCGTTGAGCATGGGAGTTAGGTGGGCTACCGTTCCCTCTCACTCCTCACGGTGGAATGGTTGGTCCGAGGCTAAGCATAAGTTGATTAATTTCTTTTTGAGAGCTCTATTGACTGACGGTGACTATCAAGAAGCTAGTTGGTATAATCTGATGGGTCGTGTCATCTTTCTTTGTAATAGTGTGACTCGTCCTAGCCTATCATCGACTCTCTATCCAAGTTCTTTGCACTATGTTCACGGTCGAGGATTACCTCCTAGCATGAATGCTCAAAGCTCTCTATCTCAGTCTGCTTCTGCCTTTCTGGATAAGAATGTTCCGCTCAAATTACCTTCGAATGATGAGCTGGAAGAAATGGTTATGACATATTCCAGAAGGCTGACTGAAGACTCTCAGTGGGTTACAGTTGATGCTGAAAACCTAGATGCTACACTCCGTTCTAGAAAAGTATTAGCTGATGAGTCTGTGCTTCGTAGCAATTTTGATACTCTTAAGATTGGCGATTCTGTGTTAAGGTATAACTATAACCGTAACAAGCTGGATCCTTACTGGAATGCTACTGTCTATAAAGTCATTTCGATTCGTGGTCAAGTGGCTGCTATTTCCAGTGATCCTTTACGCTCTCAGCCTTTCTTTGAGTATATTGGCAATTTGAAGCGCATTGATGTGTAGTCCGTGGCCCCGGAGTGTTGTCTGTGCCTATTGATCTCTTGAGATCTTGAAGTCTTGCTGTTCTTAGTAGTAGAATAGCTATTTTGTTCGTTGGATGTGGCACAAAGTTATTTCCTTATTTCGGTGTACTTGATACGAGACCTATCCTATCTTGCACCTATCCTATCTTGGCTATACTTGTGTTATCTCAATACCCCTGGTTGGAATAGATCAACAAACACAAGTCAAATGCGCGCGCCCGTTCAACGGTTTAGAGTGTTGCAAAGTTGAGAAAATCTCGGGTTGGACCCTAAAGGTCTACAACGTGGATCGAGTACGGCTGTGAGGCTGAGCTCAACCACGAGAGTCGAGGGGATCCTTCGACGGGCCAGAATAATTTTTCTTATTATTCCTTGAATATGGCGATGCCTTCATACCGAATCAGTATTACTGATCCCACCAACATTGGAGGACCGGACAGGTATGTCCGGCTTCCATCCCAGGTGGACCCTTCGCGCAGCTACGTGAGGGTCACGAGATCAATTGAAGGCATTGGTAGCACCTAATGTGGTCGGACCGTGTGTGGCCCAAACAGTTTGGGTCATTACGGTTGAAAATACTAACGGGCCGACCGACCACGGTTGCTACCTCCCGCAACCCCGTATTCGATGGGATCTCATGCGCGCGTATTGTTAGCGCGGCTACACTTGCATGATACTGTAGTCATACCATGGCTTATTGTCATCTACTGATGACGCCCACGACTCGTGGGCCACGAGTCACCAGATGCATGCTGGAAGTTTCTTCTGATACGATATGTCGCGGTGTAGTTCTGGGGCCGTATGCGGATCCTGATTCATGAATCTGAGTCCATGATTCAACAGTTGAATTTCAACTCACGCTCTGATCCTGATTCATGATTCAAGTCACACTTTGATTCGAGAGAACTGATTCAGATTCTTAGCTTTGGAGAAAGAGTCGAGATCTTTGAGTATGAGTACTTGAGACAGAGTCCGACTACGTAATCATGAGCAAGATCCTTGATCCTTGATTTTAATCAGCCGCTGAATCCGATTCCTGATCCTCAAATGAAGGTCAATTTATTGGGCTAGGTCAACAAATGAGCGAATGGTTTGTGATGTGTTTGGGGGGTGTTGGATCGATTAATATCCAGTTACCATTCAGTTAATGGGGACTTTCCTGAACCCACCCGCCCACATCCGGTTTAAGTTGGTTTGGGAGACATGAGTAGTCAAGCGAGGGTCATAAGCCAGAGGCTCTGGCCCAGAGAGCACAGAATTGACTCTCTGTGGCAGAGGCATATTCTCATGCGCGCCCCTTATTCTGCCGCCCCGCCCCTAATTCTTTCGCTCCGCCCTAAACGCTTCGCCCCACTACCCACTACTCCCAACTAACTAAATGAATGGATGTTATTGGACAACAGACATTCGACAATAGTATGGTAGAGTGTTCAGGGTAAAGTTTACCCGGTAAACCAGCGAGCGAGTTAAGTTGATCACGATTCAAGATTCAAATCTATACTCAAAGGCTGATTCAGAGTTTTTGGCACTGAGTCAGAGTATTTCTTCGATTCGAGATTAAATACTCAGAGTTGGGATTTTTACTCATGATTCGAGATTAAGTCTCAGGAGTCGAGATTCTTTTACTCAAACTCAAAGCTGCTCAGATTCAAGATCGCAATCTCACCTTGAGCATGATCCGGGATCATACTCATGATGCACAAGCTCACAGTTTAACACGGGGATTAATCTTGATTCTGTACCGGGGGTCCGGACCCCCGGTACCAAACCCTGATTCTGATTCTCGACCTTGATTCACGGCTTCAGCGCACGCCACGGTAGATCTTCTCGGCTCCTTGCGAGTATGTTCTTAGAATGACCGTACCGAGGCCCCCGGTCCGGGGGATAGAACCTCGACTTCGACCAAGTGAAAGCATATCCTTAACCAGTTGAGCTGCGAGATTATACGATACAAGACGGTGCAAGGAGGCTTCGCGCACATAATACAAACGGGAGCTTAATATGACAATTCCCGGGATTACAACCTCAGCTTCTAGCACGTGAAAGCATCTCCTTAACCAGTTCAGCTACGAAACCACACGACACAAAACGGTGTATGGAGGTATAGCGCATGTAGTGCATGCAACCACACGGTGTGAACTACGCATTCCTTAATTCAATTAATTATTCATAAAAACAATAAATGCTCTCCGTCGATCCTCTTGAGGGATTGTCCGATAACGACACCCGATCACGCTACCGGTTCTCAAAGGAAGCTCTATGGGAGTTGTTGGACTTGCTGGAACTTCGCGAAAAAGGCAAAAGACACCACGTCATGGTCAAGTTATTGGTTGCGCTTCGCTACCTTGCTACTGGGAGTTATCAACAAGTCTGTGGTGATGCACTCCAGTGTTCGCAAGAATTCGTCAGCAGAAGTGTGATTGAAGTGATAGAGGGTATACTGGCTCACCGTCAACGATTTATAAATTTTCCTAATGACAATTCGATCATTAATGGTGATGCAGATGTGGACCCACGGCTTCCCCGCTGCATTGGTCTCATAGACGGAACCCATGTCTTGCTCAAGGATGTTGTTCCACTCTGCGACAGAGCTGACTTTATAGACTCCAAGAGGCATATCTCTTTGAATGTGCAAGCTGTTCTGGGAGCAGAGGGTCTTCGGATTTCAAGTAGCAGAGGAGACTTGGAGCGTAATTTGATGTCTGTCTACGGTCTAACGGTTAATGGGCAACCGGCCTCTAAACCTGCTTACACAGCAGCGATCTCTACATCATACGACACATTAGGCGCAAATGTAGGAGGAGCAATCAGTGTGACCACAGTGTGGACAACCGTGTGGATCAACTTTATGAAACTGGTTTTGTTGGAGGAAGATCACTTTCCAACAGCCACCGTCACATGGTTGGTAAACACGTTGCAGGGTGTAGGCTCAACTCCAATCGAGAACTCGGTTGCACAGCTGAATGAGCAGGTGCCAGCTGTTATAGCGGGTACCGTGGTGGTACTTGAGTTACAAGCGGGCGAAACGGCTTATGTGCCGGTCATCAGATTCTTACTCGGTAAGTGCCTACAAGTTGATCCCATTGGGTCGTCCAACTTATTCGCTGCAGCGACTCCGGCCTACACACCCTACTTCGTGTTGGACCGTGGAGTCGCTGCTGCGAACATGGCCGCTGGGGCCGGCTTCGCAGCGAATGGTTGGACGGCCCAGGGAGGCGGGGCTTGGCAGCCGAATAACATAGAGTGGGATGAGGTGCGCGGTGCCATGGAGGTATTGGCGCGCAATATGCCTTCGAGAGAAGCTATTGAAAGCGGGTTCTATCTTGGTTGTACTTTGGCGGCAGCACCGAGCTCACGCGGCGGTAGGAGTTTGTTTGTCAACAATCCACCCCGCATTGGAGTACTGCCAAATGCCCGCATCCCGTTGCCTGCTGTTGATCTGAGGTATACGGTGTTGAATGAACACTGTTGATGCGAGCTTGGACCAGCGAATGTTATGTTGCTGAAGCTGTGAGTGCGACCCGAATATTAGTCAACGCTGTACAGGGCGAGGATGAAGATAGGTATGCAACGTTACTGATATTGTCAGTGTCTGGACATGTCACGACTACTTGTGCATACCGTCATCTGGGAGCGCGTCCTGGGGATGTGACAACTGGGTTATTGAATAATGCATTGCCAGATGCTGCAAATTCACGTCCTCTGGCGGCGCAGTTATCGGTGATGAATGGTGGGATGTGCCGCTTTAGACAAGTCCTAACTACATTTCATAATAAGCTGATGGGCTTCGATTTGCCGTACCCGATCGCGTGTGCCATAAGAGTGCCTGATGTCACGGGCACTGTGGCCATTCGAAATGACTTAGTGAATGGAGAGCTGCTCGGTGGCTGCGAGGAAC